TGGCGGAACTGAGTATTTGATGATGAATTATGAATAAGCCCAATTTCCACAAAACTATTCATTGGTCCGTAAAGTATATAGTTGACGAGTTTTTTGCGTGCTACTTTCCTTTCTTTCCACATCAATACCATCTCTCGTAATGTTATCAATGAACATAGCAGTCAAATAAAAAACAAACACTAGATAAGAAGAAAACATTTCGCATGAGAGAGTTTTCATTCACTCTCAACAACTCTCGTTATTGTGACTTTTTTGTTGCCGTACATTTTCTCTTCTTTCTTAAAATCCGCAGACAGTATCGTTTCACCACCACTCACTTTTGCGCAGTATTTTTTCTCTCGTCAATCATATTTCAGTGATTCATAAAACCACAGTTGTGATCTAATAATGCCGTTGCTGCTAGGAAACCAACTTCTGATAACCATTGCTAGTTTTGTTTAATGGGAATCCTCTGTTTTGAATGTAAAGCATTTAGCAAGTGCGAAGCATTGATTTGAATTGTCGTATCCAGTTTTGATGAAGAAGTAAAGTCGTATGGAATCATTCATTGAAATTCATACCGACTTTCTAACGAATGAACGAAATTTAGCGATCAATAATTTATGCAGTCAGCATGCACCTCATAAACGAGTGAGCAGTCACTTGGTGAAGAGTAAGCCGTTAGAACAAAAAATGAATCCCATCCACCGATGATGCCGAACTTCTGAGCACCATTTGTTATTTGCGGTGAAAATGATTATTCGTTTGCAAATATTTCACAAAGTTTTTAATTCAGCAAAAGTAATCGCTATTATCCGACGCTCTATTTTTTTGCGCATTGTCAGTGATCACCTCATTCACCGAATTTCATCAACGCTGCAACCAACGTACACATCAGAGAGCATAAGTGATAGAATACGAAATCGATAACCACGTCACCTCTCAATTATCCGAATTGTTTCTTCCGTCGTTCCTGAATACATGATTGATTTACGTTCATTCATTCGAATTCAAAGCAAACTCATCATATGTAAGACGATTATGAACGAAATTTGAAATTCTATTCATCAACTACCACCTCGTTACATTATCTTTTCAATTCAGTTTAATTTAATCTTGTTGTATGCCTTTTATAATCTTCTGAAATCTGTTGTTCATGTGTAGATTACTTCTCGTTTATTCATGAACGACGCGGGCAGTTCGATGAAATTTGATGCCTTTTGATCAAAGTGACTTATGATAAGAAGTTCATAAACGCACTTTCCGGTTTTCAGTCTTTCTATATAAGCTATGATTCCTGCAAATTTATGTTTCCCCCTTGTTAGAATGAGTGGAACTTTTATACCAGCACTGAATATGCTTCCGATACAATGCATAACATCTCGTCATTGCATTCGTAGTCAAATTATTGAGTAGAGTGCCGAGATCAGTCTAAGTTGTAAGTCGAGCGATCGCATTCACTGTAGCTCATTATTACATCAAACTCAAGATGCAATGCCGAGATTAGCAATAGCCTATAGCTTGTAAGATAATGTAAGTTTTTGAATTTTTTGTTGCTACTGCAAACAATTCAGTGAAATTTCGCGTTATGATATAAACGTGAAGTGTCATCAAATTGCTGAGCTTGCAGGAGATTGATTTGATTGACCCACGCAGAATTCTTCAATCAAATTATTTCCGTTGGAGAGTGAATTAACGGATTCTAACGAATATTTCTCATTTCAACTTATTAAGTTGTAATTTCAGTGCCTGAAAATGAGAGCAATCAGCAGTCAAATGAATCAATAGATGAATGATTACTCGACGAATAAGATGAAGATCGAAATGTAGTCATAAAAAGTGTTAAAACACTTTCGAAGAAAACGAATGTTACTTTGTAACTATTTTAACTATTTCCGGGTATTAGGTTTATACTCGGAATGACTCGATAATTGGATGCTCAGTGCTGTTTTTCCTTTAATCTCATTACTTCCTCATTGAAAATAGTCACTGGTTCCAATATACCATTCCAAATGTAACAGATTCAATCGTTTTCAGCACGTTCAGCAACGTTTGTGACAGAATTCACAGGCTCTTACTGTTTGTGAAACGCTGTTGATATTTACTTTCTAATCAATTCGGAATTGCTTTGTTCATTGAGCATTCATTGCATTATTCATTATTCCAACTAGGACTTATAGTTAGTTTGTTTCTCTGTGGTGTTCTCATTACAAGTTCCGAAAAGCACAGTTTCTGATCATATAGACGTCAGTTTGCCTAAAGCCAACGCAAAATTCATCATATAATGCTGTCGAGTGCATTTGTGTAATTCTAATGCAGTGAGCCATCCCCCAGTTCGAATAAATAACTTCAAAGGCATTTTCAGTCGAAACAACGTCGAAAACGAGTTTTTTGTTTTTTGATAGTTTATGGAAACGATTACTTCGCGTTGTTTTACTTGCTCAACGATTTTGTCTTGTTTTCGATACGTTTAGAAAATGATGTAGTGCTGTCGTCGTTTGTCATCATTTTCATCACTTAATTAGAATACATTTTGATGATGTTGCCCGTGCTTGAATCGCTCCATTGTTTCCTCTGACATGCTCTTATCAGCGTCGCGCTCATATTTAAGTATAACATTATTCATTCACCTTTATTCGATTGCTTCTGTTTTTCTCATCAATCAATAAAATTTTACTTTCCATCTGCTCCGGATGATTAAAACATACACAATGACTATGTTTTCAGAATTAATTATCATTCAACTAGTGCAGTGTTGTTGTCGATTTCAGTCAACATTTTAGTTTATCTACTCTCAAACATCGCATCGTTGTTTGTAAATTGTAAAGGAGAAGAAGAGGAATAAACTGAATGAAAAGTTATTTCAGACAATGGTTTTCGCAATATTATTAGTCACTGCAATGACCATGCAGACAGTTTCGGCTGGATTTTTCTATTCAGAAAGTGCGACATGCGGAACGATCCAGTAAGTGCAGAGATTAAATGCTATTTTAGGATGAATTTGAGTTGAAATTGATTAATCAACGAAAATGTTCTGTTACACGATTATTTTCAGAGAAATCACTCGGTTTTCTCATCCTGTTTTCCATTTGATTTTCAGTTGTCCGCGAGCGAATTTAGCACGATTCTATGGATGCAGCGATCACGGTGAATGCGATTTTCTGCTGCAGGTAAACAACGAACAATTGAATTGATTTTTTGAAAATCCATCGGCAAATGGAATCCTGATAAGACGTATGAAAGTTGTTCAGGATTTATAGTTATCATGACAACAACATTCGACAAACTGAGGAGGGCTAAGAGAGAGAGACTCTTTTTTTTTGCCAAACATCGAGGCAAATGAATCGAAATCGAACGAAAAAAATTATTCCTAACCTTTGCAAAAGATATTTTCGGCGCAGTGATTTGAAAAGTGATTCTGTTATTTATTGCTAAAGGATGACTCATGTTCCAAACTGCACTCGAATAATAATGTACTGTCTTTATGATGAATAAAAAACTGGCCTTTGCCACTGGAATCACTCGGTAAGTTTAGTGCTTTAGTACACTAAAGTTCAGATTCTAATGTTTATTGCTTATTGCTTCACTAAGGTTTTAGTGGTCGTTAAATGTAAACGTTTTCACCAACATAACAGAACGGCTATCAGCTGAAACCGGAGAACATGCGTATAATTTATGAAAAACAAATCATTTTATTGTTAAGAGAATGGCAAATAAAAATGCAGGAAAGCTTTGCAAATAAACTTCCCGAGAACAATTTTTAAAAACTTATTGTTAGCTGAAGGAGCTGTTGGAAGGGACCGTTGGAAAGATTGATGGTCATTTAAGATATAGATTGTCATCTAATGAAATGATACCAATTGTAGCCGTGGTTGTTCATGCTGGTCTCGTTCGTAGTTATGTCACTTCTGTGCAGTTTGGTGTGTTCACTGCTTCGGTGTATTTTTTGTGGTTGCTGTGATAATCGACGATACTGAACGGATGCACATCCACATTAATGTCGTGCTGTAACATGCAGCAAAAGCAACAACAACAACAACAGCAACTCTATATATATAGTCGTTAATCATTTTCTCGTTCTCATAATTCGACTTTCCAGGTTGCTATATGATACCATTCATGAACAATTAAGAAATTAAATTAGTCTTTATTTTTGTCGGATATTTTGATATAATGAGTTCACTACCCGAACGATATTGTGTTCATTACCGAATCTTCATCGAACTGATAAGTTCGTTGTATATATGTAAATCATTCAACTCATACTTTGTGCTCCATATTAACGTTGCTATATGATACTGCAAGAGAGCACGTTGAGAATATATTCTACGAGCTGTTTACTGGGATTACAATTAGGACCATCTCAGATTCAGGTAATACCAATTATATATAATTGAAACAGTTCTCAATGAGCGACTTTCATATTGCACCTGAGAGCTGGGAAATCTTTAGAAAGAATGTTGTCCATCAGAATTGCACGATTATACTGAATCAAAACTTCAAAAAATTGAATCAGAGCTGAATTCGTCAGCAATGTATCAATGACTTTAGAATTTCGCGAATTACTTCAACAAACCATTATAAAATTTTGACATTGAGAAAGGCTTATAGTTAGTAGGTAATCTCGTTTCAAACTTCAGTTAACCGTTCCCTTCTCGCCTGTTCCACAGCGGTTCTCAGCTCAGAAAATTTTATGGATATAATGAGCCAAACAACGAACAAGTATCGTTCATAATTAGCTTCCAAACTGTAATTTTTTTCAGTTGTGCCTTTTATATTTGGAACAGTTTATTTCGCAACTTTGATGAAGTCTTTAATCATTTTGCATGTTTTATTTTCATCATTGTAAATTAACTTCAGAATTAAATATTATCAATCATCGAATAACTTTATCGAAGTTTAAATAATCAGATAACTGCCTATTCTACATAATTGATGAACACAGTGATAAAATGAAAAGCCAATTGATTTTTGAAAATATCATTAAATTGTTGACAACTCATTAATGTACTATGAATTTGTTAAGAAACATTAATTGAACTAAAAATTTTAACTCTTTTAATTTGACGAACTTTTTCCATGAATGAACATATGGTCGATTCATCCAAATCATTCTCCCAATGACCACCCTTCTTGAAGAAGGAACCGACAATGAATGCATCCGCATCAATGAAAGCATCCATGTTTTCTGAGGTCACACCCGATCCGATAAACACTGGTAAAAGAGTGCGATGAAGTACAGCTGCAAAACGATTACCATTTGATCACAACGGCAAAACAAAGCTGCTTGTATTGACAATGAGAGTATCATTTAGTACTGAACGAAATTCGTTCACCAATTGATTCAGTTTAATGACCCTAAATCAAGCAATCACGCTTTTGCGAATAACTACGGTTGACTACGATGGGCGTTTTCCCAGTGGTCCTCGTGAAAATTCGGGTAGAACCCACTACATCGTGTTCTCCTTTGAAAAAAGTCCATCATCTTACGTTTCCCAAGCGAAGAAGTCTTTGTTGCTTCATCGGCGAAATCCCATTCATTCTAATTCTCTATACAACCGCTTATTGCAAGCAACTACTTGGTTCATTTGAGATCAAGAATAAAGTTTTGTATCAGGTGATCGCAAGATCGCAAAAATGATGATATTTAGTCAGTGTCATCATCGTTATGTGATAACCGCGCTGTTATGAAAACTCATATTATTTGTGCTATGTTATTTAAAAAAACCGCGCTGTTACAAAACTCATATTTGTGCCCATACTCATTTGTGCCGTGACAAAACAACGACTCAGTTCTCTCTCTTCGGATTGATTTTGAATTTCAAGGCAGACACGCTTTTGCGAATAAATGATAGCAATACAGACACGCTTTTGCTAATGAATGATAGCAATACAGACACGCAATGTCTGTCAAGCATGGCTCTGATGCGGAACAGAAGTCTTTATGACACAAGTTAAAAAAAAAACGTCGTCTTCTCTTATCGGGAACCAGTTTGCTCAGTGAACGCTAATGAATTAAAGTGTGGATAGTGCGGAGTGATTTACTGAGAAAAATACTGAAACTGTAAGCAAACAATAAATCAGCAAACGAGACATTTTTTGACGAACATCTGAACTGCTTCCAACAATTGGCGCTTATGAATTAAACGACAGAAAATGATTCCACAGGTTTTGCCAATGAAAGGTAGTTTTTTAATCGCCGAACAATCGTTTTCTCACTTCCAATTTCTGACACTGTTTTGGAAATAAAATTTTTCTTACAATCCTTCATCACTCTTCGCTGTTACATGTTCACATACAGTTCTTCATTTGCCTCTTCAAACCGACAAGCACATCAGCTTCCTATCTACATCAATCACATATTGTGTGACAGTTTGATTTTAAAATAAGAATGCAATAATTAGATATTAGCCGATATCTGAACTGATCAAAACGACGAACTGAGAATGCACCCGTTCTCAGCATTAAACTGTAAGCTTTCCAAAGGGAACAATGCAGATTATGACTGAAAAATAGTTACTCATTTGAAAAAAAAAACTGAATCAAATGAGGTGAATGATGTGACTGCACGATACCTTTAAGATCATCAACACTAGCAGCACACCCAGTCGAAGATCCAGTTACAATTAATCCATCAGCGAGGAAGAATTCTGATGCTTCAGCGATATCACCAATCGATAAATCTGAGGTTATTGCATGTGACCTAAAACCGGCACTTTATCTCACATAAATCTGATAAACACATAAGATTCGGTTTAAAAATATAATGTTCCGTAATATGAAAGTACACTAACGAGTGTTTCTTCTTAATATCGGTGACAATAGCGACTTGATCGGCTCCAATTTGTTTACGATACCTAAGCAACGGTCCAGCGCATGCTGACATAGGTCCTTCATCAGCAACATGACCGAATGTGAAACATTCCGCACGAATGAAATCAAATCCTGAAATCTCTTAGTTGCAAACGAAACTCAATACTTCTACCCGTAATTCACCTCGCTAAAACGAGGTCTTTTAGACGTCGTTTTTTCTTCAAAACAGTTGTGTTCAGGAGTGGATAAAATCAGATGTCGAGAACAATTCATGATGGATTTCGATAGTTGTTCATCGAGCGATCAATTCATTACGATCAAATATGAAGAACCAACCACAAGCATGTGCAACAGCAATGGCTTGTTTGTTAGCAGCAGCAAGAATTTGAATGCCTTTAACGAAGTGCTGACTTTTGTACTGATCCAATACCTCGTTCACGGCCATACACACGCGTGTCATTGTTGCTACTACTTCCGGACCAATCGACGGCTCTTGGATATATGGTACATCGTGCATATTCTCCACTATTATACCGTCCTTCAAGTAGTTTATTGAGTGCGAATGTGAACGTTTAAAATGTAATACTGATGAAAAATGCAATGAGAGTTCAATGGAATGTTCGGACAGCAGCTCAACACAGACAATGAAACGAAATCGAAGAATCTGTTACCACTTCGGCTGATGCATAAATTGAAGCTTCTTCCTTGACTTTCTTAACTATATCTGATATTGACAACTGCGATTTAGGAGTCCTCAAAACGGAATGAAAATTAAAATTCAATAGAGAACGAAGTGTGAGGAATGTATTTTCCGCGAAATAAAAATGCAAGTATCAACTTAAGATTAAACAATGCACCAAAGCCATTGATGGACTGATACAGCACCTATTGTTTTTCCGTTTATTTGGATTTTCAGATAACAGTTTTACTGTGATTACCTTGGCTGCCGCTTTTCGGTAACAATGTTGTTGTATTTATTTGTAAATGAGAAAAATCTCAATTATCGGGATTCCACGCAAGACGATAGCGCGTGAGATGAAGAGGCAACAAAAGCGTTAGCAAATGAAGAATGGAGTAGGAGATAAGCTGAATGTTCGCATATTATAAACTAATTCATAACTAACCCTGGAAGTGCCGGCACATGAATCATGCCAAAAACAAATGGCCTCGTTGAACTTGTCGCACGATGAAGCAATGACCTGAGGCTCACACTTGCCATTTCCACTTATGATAATATTTTAAACGATAGTCACTTATATCAGATATTCACTATTCAATCGACTGAAAGACAAAAAAAAACTATTGTTTTAAACTAACAGAAAGGTAAAAGCATGATCAACGAGAATTTCAACTGTTTCGCTGAGGAGTAATTTTCGATTAATAGCCAGCGAAACTGCTCGATACATTATCGCTATTCAACGACTAAACAGACGTGCTTTCCTATTTGCGAACAACGAACGCACATATATATATATATCTTAACAACAAAAGCATTGATTGTTTTGACTAGCAAAAAGGAACTTGCGTGCTAAACAAAAGAAATTATTTTACGATGAACGGTAACTGAGATGATCGCTCTAAGCAGTGAGATCGATAGACTTTGATGTAGGTGTACTTTTGTGCAGTGTATAACAATCTTTACATGTATCGCAGAAGATGTGAGTGAACTTGACCGATCAACAACAAAATAAAAATAAACGACTCCGATAGAAACAGCATCAGTCTGTGGCAGTGCACTTATCTGTATCTAGCATCTTACCCATCAAGACTGTTCATGAACTTTGAAATATGAACGTTAATCACAGGCCTGTTAGCTAAGCCATTCAAACCATGCTCAGTTACCTTGAATTTACAAGTGTAGGATACCTTGAAGAATCAATTCAATATTCACAAGCAAAAGCTTCACTTCTTAATGAACGAGTAAATGTTGACGAGTGCAGCATAACAATACCATAGGAACTGAATGGTTTATCACTAAAATTGCCTCACTGTCAGTTGCGTAGTCAGCCACGTTGTTTACACTGACTCTCAAAACGCGCCAAACATTTTGTTACATTAACAACATTACAGATTAGAACATAAACAAGATACGAACAAATCAACGTGCAAACGAACAAAACACAGAATTAATTGACCAAAAGTTCGGTGTCAACACAAAAACAAAAGAACGTCATTACTGTACAGGCAATAAAAATTCATTTTGCTACTGACAATCTAGAATGGTTATAAACATATTTACGTAGTTGTCACCACCGTAAAACTACACTTTTATCAAATGACTTATTCGTATTCACATGAAATTTATTTGCACACATCAACAGTTCACATTGTTTTAATACTGAACTTGCCATATGAAAATATTCAAGAATGACGACAAGATAAAGTCAACGAATAATCTTACAAACTTTATGAAGATTGACAATATTACTACAACTACAAAAGTGAGACAAGCAAACTAAAAGAGGCGCTAAAATTCTGTAGGCTTTCTATTGTAAAGATACAGCGAGAGGATACCGAACTACTGAACATGAAAAGAAAAACTTCACTCACACACCATATTAACCTCATAAATTTCACGGAAGGGCATTTGGCTCAAGCATTCGGCCAAAAACTTTTTCGAGTATCAAATTCGACAAAAAAATCATTTTAACATTCCTCCTCAAATGAATATCGAAACGGTGCGTTTGTGAGTACATACTCAATCGAACACAACTGTTGATATTTACAAACTTCTACGAAAAATCAACACATTACAAAATAGAAAATAAAATAGATCGTTACAATCATACAGAAACATATCCAATTCTCAGCGATGAAAAAGCCTCACAGAAGAAAACGAAAATGAGCGAAACATTATCAACTCATTATCCAAAGAAACCGTCATTTAACGGTGATCAGCGCGTCACTTAATCCGACCGGCGGACTCGATACGCTTACAATGGTTTTGTTAACTAACAGCAACGAAAAATCGACAGAACAAACATCAAACCATTCAAGGATTCACGAGAGAAATTTATCGAGACATGATAAATCGATCAATGATTTCAACTCCGGCCACAAAATCAACCGATGATTCCAATTATCCATTTCAGTTATACTTATTAGTAGCTACTAATTACTTTGAGAAGGTATTCATCAGCTTGTAATCGAATTCTGTTTGAAAAATATATTACTGTTCTTGTGAAACATTGTCTGAAATCATGATATTGCAGTTATCAACCTTGAGAACAGTAAAAAATCCCATATAGTACAGCTGACCAGGAACTTAGGAAAAAATGAAACCGGAAATATAGCATTTCGAATAGCAGTTCGTGAAAGGCTTAGAGTTGTTCCCCTACTTACATTGTCAGCCATGAACTTACTCGATATACTGATGAACTGCAACTACTTCAGTCGAGATCTTGCATAATTGCTACTGTTATGGTTATTGAACGATTTCTGCTGTGATGAATACTGCTGATGCGACGACTGTCGGAATGGGTTACGAACGGTAACAAATCCGAAAGAATTGACATTTGATTTCATCGGAGGAAGAATCGGTTCACAACCCGGGGGCAACGTCCATCTAAAACAATCGTTTCCCATCACCATCAATCAAACATGTTGTCTTATTGTTAGAAAGCCTGAACAGTATCAAAAACATAATTCAGTGAGTGAATAAATCCGTTAAGATGTAGTCTGCATTGAACGATCCCTCCAGAAAGTGGCTGCATTAAACGAACCGAAAAAGACAATCGAATGCGTATCGTTGATCTGGACTGCTATCACGTCGCATCAACCAACTGTATCGATTTGTACCATCATCAAAAGGTTCTCCTGGAGATTCAATTTGAAGTAAATCGAGGTTCAAAGGTCGACTCAAATTTTTCTTTGCAAAAATCCGAATTATTTTCAAAATAAGGCAATAATCAAGGCAACCAATAGAGACAAGAAAATTCAGAAGTGTTATTAACATCGGAAAATATACTCGATAATTCCTTAAATGATGATGCATCAGCATCACTATTATCAGTAAATGGATGACGAAATGAGCCAATGTTGTTTTGCAGTCGGTGCTGAAGAGGAGCTGCTAACTGTGGTTTTCCGGAATCACTGCCTCCAGCGGACTGAAATTCGTTGCTGATACGAATGTATTAGATAGTTCTCAAGAACCTACAGGTATACCTGGAGTTACGTCGTTTCGAGTTAAGCCGTTCGCGATTACACGTCATTTTGCACTGCATTATACTTTGCTACATTTTTTGGTGTACTATATCAAAAAATAAAATTTATTTGTTTGTAAGCGCACCATCCCCTCCCCCTCTCTTCGGTACCACCGTATATGGCTATCATAAATGAGTTCTTTTTGGCTAATGACAATTGTCAGCACATCATCACAATATCACATCATCAAACGCTCTGCAGCGATTGATATCCAACAGTTGAAAACGAAAACAGACAGAAGTCGAATGTTGAGTACCTGAGACGGGTATTGGATTTGTTGCGTATCAGATGGGAAACGATGAAAGGTCGTTTGTTGCACGAAAGCGAAATCACCTCCAGGATTGAACTGCAAATCAAATTTTGTCACCACTAATATACGCTTAGCACCAATCGTAAGTTTCCTTTTAAGGAAAAACGTGCAGAGCACAAAGAAAGACTGAATTCCACAAAACAATTACCGGACGATAATGTGGAATGGGACATATGAATCGAGGTGGTGGTGGATTAGTCGTTGATGGTGGCCACTGAATCAATCCTGGATGGGACATATAGGCATTAAGAACCGGTCGTGTTGTCGAATGATAATTACTAATAGAATTGGGTCGAGATGAGAACGAAACTGATCCATTTTGAGGCGATGATATCCACTGATGATTATTCAGTTTTGGTGGGCTATTGCTACTGACATTATTGTAACAACCGTTCACCGCTGTATAACTCGTATTTGGTCGGTTACATTCATATGATTGTGATGTGGTTGGACCGTATGATGCTGATAAGGTAGTATTGCTCGCCGGGGATGTAGGCAAACAAGCGTCGTTCAATGGCTGATTTCGAGTAGTTGTTGCATCATTTACGGGGTTGTTCGCTTGACCTACAGAATGCCTCAGCGACTGCAACAAATTCATCAAAAAGTCATAATCTGGTTCTTCAGAGAATTCCAATTTTCTGCAATATCGAATCCATTCGGCCATTTTTGGACATACTGTCGACCAGTCGGTTTGTTCTTTAATATTTCGAATACGATTATAAGACTGTTGTTTGGAACGAAATCTGGCCTTGCTTCGTTGTTCCTTCCATGGTAGTTCGCGATTGATGAATTCGATAAGAATATAGCCAAGACTTTCCAGATCGTCTCGTCTACACAACTCCAAACCATTATGACTATTCAAACTGGCGTACTTGGCTGTACCCACTAAATTTTTACCCTTACGAAAAGGAATATGTTTCAGTGAACCATCGCCATCACGAAAACGATATCGTCGCGCCAAACCGAAATCCACCAAAAAACAAATATTCTCCTTATCACCAAGACCCATCAAAAAATTCTCTGGTTTTATATCCCGATGAAGGAACCCTCTTGAATGCAAATTATGTATTCGTTGGATCATCTGTTGACCGAGCGACACGATTGTTTCACAAGAAAATGTTCGATCACAAAAATTGAACAACTGCTCGAGTGAAGGACCAAGGAGCTGCATCACAAGAATTTGATGTTCGTACTCGGTGCCAAACCAGTATATCAACGGTACACCAGGTGCTCCCTTAATCAGTTCGATTAGATTTAATCTACCAATGTTACATTATCACTCTCATATGAAGATGACCAAACCCATTCGAAATAAATGCTATGTGTTGCTTGCACTCAACTCTACCCCAACATACAATTCCTAAGACGAATAACATAACTGAAACAAGATAGGAAATGAGCCAATCGTTCTGAGATGATCGGATAAGATAAAACTCTACATTATTAAACGATCCACTTCGACATCCAAAAGGACAAACCTTTATGTCATGGTAGACATCATTCTCATATTTCAAATGCAAATCTGTATTTTGCTTAGCTCCTGAAACGAGACGAAATATTGTTGATTGCTGTCTGAATTTTTTCACGTCACAATAATTACCACTCATAGTTGTTCAATAACTCATTAAGCTATTATTCATCTCATGAGCCAGCCCAAAGAGTGGTTAATCTTGAAGCAATGCGCGTTCCCGAACGCACAGAAACAACTACATTACAACTCGGAATGAAGTGTTGAGGTTTCTCACGAATGACAATTAAAGATAACAAGCGAACGACTAACCGATTTCGAATTTAACAGCCACACTCAGATTCGTATGCAAATCGACTGCGCTGTATATCGAGCCATACGAACCAAAGCTGATTTTTTGTGAAATTTGGTACCTGGAACAACAGCACAGCACACTAACCTCCAGTGAACTGCTTCGAAGATTGAAAGCATCTGATATATATAGAAACTGAAAACGTTACAGAACATAACACTCACCTTTTATTTACAATAAGACCGATTTTCTCACGAATGACATTATCCCTCTCAAAGTCTTCGACAGCAGACTGCCAAGAGTCAGTCACATCAGCTACACGTCCTTTGCACTCCTTATGAGGTGATGAAACCTACGATTTTACTTGCATTCTTCAAATGAATAAGAGAAGGATGAAACTCGCTAATGGTGATCAAGTAAAATGCTTTCAAGTTGATACTAATGTTTCTTCCCTCTCCAATCTACAATAAACAATGGAAAGTAAAGTCGAAACTGAAACCACAAACAAACTACCACATGATGGAGAGAGCTGGAGGTAGAGAGAACCTGTGAAATTTCGTTGCTTGGGTTAGGAGCAGATGGAATAACGTGATGGGGAGGAAAACGACATGGTGGAGGGCTGACTGCATCGACGATACAACAATTCAAAAGTGGAGGTGGTTCAATGAATGCAGGTTTATGTTGTGGTGAATTTGGATGTGTCTGAAGAATACTACATCATCATAACAGTTTTCGCGGTAACAATGAAACAAATCGCTTTCGAATGCCCACTGCTTATAACGTTGACCATAGATGTTCACAGAGAGCTGAATTAAGCGCCTCACGGAAAATCATTACTTGATACTACGAGTAGATGCATTTTGGTGGTGGTCCTCTTAATGACTACTGGTAAGCGGAACTGACCACCATGAAAGGGCAACAATTCCAACTTTAGAATCACAAAATGAAATATAACTAACGAAACCTGAGTGATAAAGTGAATGTAATATTATATACTCCAAAGAGTCAATACCAACGCAATGATGAAATTCAAAAATTCCGTACTCCCCATATACAAAACCAATGGTGGACATCATATCTGTAATCGAAAAAAAACCATACCATTAAACTAACCCCATCTTTTGCATCGGTCTTTTGATCGGCAGAAATAAAATTGCACGAAACATGCTTCAAAGGTGACGTTTCAGACGTTGCACGCTTACCATTCGCTATTTCAGCATAGGATAATTTAGTAACTCGTGACTGATTTGACGTGATCACTGAAACGAATCGTCAACTTTAATGACTCAAAAAGCGCAATGCAGGTCGAAGTGCATCCAAAAAATTGACTAAATAATTCTTCATCTCAAACTGTATTAAAAATGTTACAACTTCTATTATAACCTAACAGAGTGCTGAGCAATACAACTGTATGGTAACAATTCAAAAAAATGAAAAACAAATGAAATTACCGGAAGAATTAAGTTGTGGAGATTGATGGGGGATAACACTTGTGGTAGGCCAGTCGTCGTGAAAAGTGGGCGCCATAGCCATCGCCCGTTCGTCAAGGAATGATGTCCCTGTGCAGAAACGAATGATACAGAGGGCGGAAATCGAACAGCTAAAAAACATGGAGCAAATCAGGTGAAATATTGTCACAAGCTAGAAGTTTGATAAGATTCAAAATTAAAACACTGCAATATCCAGAATTAATATTAATCGAGTGAGTTTTCACGCGATCCAACTAAAATGTCTCGAATTACAAGTTGACTAGAGCTATGGAAACGCTAAGCATTCGGTTATTATTTCAGTCTGTTTCACCAATCTATCCCACTTTACTAGAATTATGAAAGAAATCCTCTTTAGAACCTTGAAACAAATATTTTTTAAAACTGACATTGACACCACACTACGAATCATGTATGAGTAAATCGCCAACTATCCATGTGAGCAATTCGCCAAAAGCTTCCTGTTCACCCCGACTTTCCACATGAGCAACCTGGCGATGCTGGGGAGGGATTTGCTGATTTGTTATGCCTAGTGTGGTGCAGGGATCAGGGAATTTCGATTATCCCATCCAGGGATCCTCGTAACCGAGTTTTTTTTGGGCTGACTGCATTTTTGTGGTCCCCGACTTCAAAATTTCAGCTTTTGTCAACAAATATATTTTCTGCAGTGCTGATTTTTCACTCTAAACATTAGCACTTAAAGGGAAACACTTCTTCAACCGTTTGGAAGCAAAACAATTTCGTATCGACCTACGATCATGGAAAGTACTCCGTGCACCTTACCGTGGATGAAGACGAGTCATGTAAGATAATTAGACCTTCAAAACTATCTGTGATGTCAAATGATTGATTCGTTGATACATGAGGACTTTCCTGGGCTTGCTCACGGAAATGTGAGTTTCCATAAACGTGCTAACTCTTGAGCTGCTTTCTCTCTCCAAAATTAATCTGAGGATCTTCAAAGCATTCTACCACTTCGCGAGTGATTCCAGTAAGTGGTCAGCTTCATCTACTGGATCATCTGATCACATGAATCAAATCATCTCTCGATACTATCTATTAAATCATGCGGATGATGGGTGTAATTCTTCTCCGCAAGGACGATTCTAGTGAGTCGTTATATCTCCTTTTGGAAAAATTCTCGAAGGAAATGAAAAAGGAACGCGTTCATATACCGAACAAACAATATCCTTTCAAACGAATGCGTTAATTTGATTACCCTTGCATTAATATTGATGTGTCAAGTGAGATTTTCATTGAGTTGATAAATTTGGGCGTTGAGCTGATGTGCTCTTCGAATGCCATTACGAAGATAGGTCATCGAAATTTTAATCCATTTATAGCAAATGAAAGCCACAAACATACGGTATCATACTCATACTCGGCCGAGCATCGTTGATTCTCTTCGAATCAGCAATTGACGAAGGTGTTAGGTTATGTGATGATTCATCGTTATTTTCGTTGATCATTTCTCCAGTGTCTAATGGAAACATGTTTTAAATTCTGAAGATGAGAAACGAATCGAAAATCTTTTGATTACCTGCCGATGATACCATCAACATCGGCAACGTTCTATGAAAGCATTTTCTCCACATCTTTTATTCACTCCTCCTGTTTAACCTGCGCTTTTGGATGCAAAATTGCAAAAAA